GGAGGAGTGGGCGGGGGGTCGGGAGTGGCCAGCCAATCAGGCGGACGGTGCCACCTCGGGGAATGACGCTTAGGCCAATGGGAAGGGCATTTCATTCCGTCAACGCCGGGGGTTGGGGCTCTGAGAAAAGAGGGTTGGGTGGGAGTCGGGCCCGGTGGGTGGGTGCCCAAGGGAGGGGGTTAGAGAGGGAAAAGTTCCCGTGAAGAACTGCGGGGACGTGCGCCTGGGATGAACTGTCATCCTGCCTGGACTGCGGAGGGAGCGCTGGTCCTTCTCCTGGATGCCCTACTGCTGGTAATAGCCCCTCGCCACCCATCCCTTCAGTACCTGGGATTCGGCGTCTTAAGAAGGACGCTATTCGAGGAAGCACGTTCGTTCCGTTCTGTATTTTCCTCCTTCCGCTTCATTTCACCTTTTCATAATTGTCGAGACCATAATAATGGGAGGAAATGTGTAAGGTTTTAGGTATTGATTTATTTTTAGCATTAAGGCTTGGCAGAAAAAGAAAACGCCGAATACGAGGTTTTGGTGAAGTGACATAAAGAAATCAAAATGTGGTGGGATGTATTTTTACCTTTTCCAAAGAACGTGCAGAAGTGGGCTCAAGAAACACAATTGCACACATTAAAGCACGTAAACATTAAAAATGCATGAAGCCGGTGTATTTAAAATTCCACATGACATATAGTATTATTCCGCTTTATGTAAAATTCATACCTGTAAGTTGATTTCGACCATGAATGCACTGCTTCGCATGGTAGTCCAAGTAAGTGGCTTTATAGACAACGTTGAGAATGCAAACGTCCCCCTTTGCAGCATAGCATTCCAATTCACTTTTCTAGCCCCTGGGGTCCCGATTGGTTCCCACTCTCCAGAAGATTCTGTTAATTAATGACCTTTTCCGCCTTTGTACTCTGGTGGAAAAGCTGCCCTCCAAGAGTTGAAAACCAAATGAACAATGCAACACGGTGTGGTCTGTGTGTGCTCTTTAAGAAAAGAGAGAGAGGAAGTCCAGAGGAGAAATGTGCACGAAAACTGGCGGTCAGTAGGAACAAGAATTTTGAATGCCTTTACCCTGCAAATCGCCTACACGTTAGGTGATGAACTAAGCTGAGCGTTGTCTTCATTCATGGATGGGTGCCTTCATATTTATAGTTAGAAGAAAGCAGATAGGGATCTCATCTCGTCCTATGTATCTTCCCATAAAGAAACTTTGCTACCTGCCCTGACATACCTGCAGCGGGCTGGTAGTTTGTTGAGCCACCAGAGTCCTATTTCCCCAGAGCACATTCCTTTTTCCTGATGAAATGAAGAGCAGCTACTTAATGCTGCCTTCGCAGGTAAACGCAATCGCCTGCCTCTGCCCTCACCTGGATGCCGCTGTGGGGTGCTGTCTAGTCCATGTTGGCTCCCGGCAACCCTGAGCATAATAGAATGCAACACTGCCCGTCCTGTGCCATGCTCACAATTATTCCTATGTTTGAGCAAGTGTTCATAATAAGGAGCTGGACACAAGTCACATTCTTCCCTCCTCAAGTACATACATAGGTGGTACCTATCTATCTATCTGTAGATATATATACATACACATATTTATTATGAAAAACAATCTAAGGGAAGTTTGGTGGTATAGAATCTTTCTTAAATACTCAGGAATTCTTTTATATCCATTTAAATTGATAGGATACAAAGAGAATATTGCAATTTTAGATCGAAAGGTAGAAGTGGCTAGTGGGTATAAGCTATTATCTTGGATTCGATCATATTAACATAGAGGATAATGAATGTGTATATGCAGATGCATACTTCAAGAGCGAGAGAGACTTTTTGTTCCATTGACTTGTCTGTTTCCTAGAGTTTCAAATGTTGCAAAAAATAAAAAGCTGAGATTTGTCTGTTTGGCAAAAATCAACAACATACACTTACATCTTCCAAGCTGTACTTTCCCCGACTTGACTTGGATAAAATGTTAAGTTTTAAATGGTGATGCAAACTCGTCTTTTGGACCTACCTAAGTCCCAGAGAGCCATGCCTGGGTGTGACGAGTGTCAAATAGTGGTTGCCTTCAAGTTAGAAAGGCTGAGTTCATGGGGGACCTCGGGGAGGGGCAGGATTGCAGAAGAATGGACCCTGAACAGAATCAACAACACCCAGCAAAAAGGTGATGCTGAAACTGGACAATGGGAATAAGGAATATGATCCTGTCCTTTCCGACCCATGAATCCACAGGGTACCAGGAGCTACGCAGCTTTTTTGTCCACTTCGACGCTTCCATGGTGTGAAAGCTGAAGTCACTAATTACCCACTTTGGGAGAAACCGTACAAGCTATATTATTTCTACTGTGCAAAGAAGACAATTGAGTTGGCCTGGGACTCTTCCTTTCAAAGTGCTTCACTTGCACTTGGAAACACCAACTGGCCTAGCCAAAGTCCTGGGCCATAAAGTGCTTCAGACCCAGCAAGTTGAACCTCCATGGGAAGCCGGGGTGAAATCGTCATAGAATTGCTCAGAAGCCCTGGGGACCAAAATTATGTGTGCGCCTCCTCCTCAGACCCAGAGTGCTGCAGCCTTCCCTCCAGGAATTCTCCATGCTAATCAGTCCGGAGCTGAACAGCGACACCCAGGCTCTTAGAATTCACAATCACCCAGTGTTGACACGAAGCAAGGGTATCCAAGCATATTGTGCTATTCAGCCCAAATGCCTTTTTAGGACCCGAGCCTGCTTTCTCCAGGCGCTGCAATGAAACCGTGGGTGGGCTCAGACACAGATAAACATGAGTGCTCGCATGCCTTGGTCACTCTCTAAGTGTAAGTGGCCAGTGGAAGAGGAACGTGCCTTCTCTTGGGGCATAACTAACCACAAAGTGCTTGGCAGGAGGAAATGTCTCTGTGATCCAGAAACGTACATTGGGCTCTGTGGCAATCCAGCCTCGAGGTTGCTTTATCAGGCACTAAGGTTATAAACTTACTTGTGCTATCCTGGGGTTGCTGATACCACTCCCGGAAATAGATAGCCTCCCGGTTTGCCCAGTCTTGGAAAGGTTTATAGGAAAAGGATGCTATATGTTGAACACAGCTGGGCAGATAGATGTAGCCATCAAAAGCGTGCCCATTTTCAGAACTTTTAAAAGGTTTAAATAAAAAGTAAGTGTCCTTTTTAAGCTCTTCTACATACAGATGTTTTAAAAGTGGAAAAAAAGAGGAAGTAACAGGCATCTTTTGTTTTGACATTAGAAGGTGGAAGAGGATGTTTCTGGAGTCAGCCTGAGCTCCAACTTGGGCCCATTGAATTAATACTCTTGTATCAACACGCTGCATTCTTAACTCCTTGTGCCTTGTGGGCGAGTTTCCCACACAGGGAGCTAGAAAACTGGTACTGGCAGAGGACAGTGACTTTGAGCACATGATCAGCTTTGAAGTACTTGTGAGAACTAGCCCCAAAGGTGCCCAAAGTAGGAGAGAGATGTCTGCAGGCATGGCTGAGAAGAGGCCATCCTGACTGAAGAATTGTATCCGGAACATTCCTGATTCTGAATAGTAGTCGGTCTCTTTGCTAATGAGCCCCCTAACTGTGACTCTTGTCTGCATTCTGTGTGGCCATTGCAACGAAGATGGTTGTCAGAATTGGTAAAAGGTTGGAAGATGGAGGCATGCCTGACCTTCACCTTACAGGTTTCATCCTTAGGATG